TCATGATTCCTGAGCCAGAGTTCTTTTCATCGCACCCTTGTCTCCTTGGTGCAAAACATCACACACACACACAACAAAAAAGCAGACATACCCACACTCACACCCACACATAGCATTAGTAAAAGAAGCTATGAATTAGTCTCAGATTTTTGAGAAAACTTAATGGTTTCTAAGACTGAACTGCTGTCCATTGAATGTTCTCTAATACCTTGTCTTTGCTTAGACGTAAACTAGATTCATAATTAGATGCAATACTATCATTTTTCATGAAGAATATCAATCTTCTTAATGTATAAAGGTCTAAACTCATTGTTTTATGGTGACCACACATTTAAAAAGATCTTTAAAATCATACAAACAAAAGACATAGTTAATAAAAGAAAAAAATATGAAAACTATCATGTCAGAATATAAATTTGTTTTTAATATAAAATGATGGAACCAAGTTACCATAAACATACCAAGAACCAGCCATGTGTACAGTATATAAGTGTTAATGAACAACAGCAAATTACACTCAAAAGATCACAACTCACAAAGGTGATGAGCTTAGAAAAGAAGCTAGTGAACTACTAAGAACCAAGGATTAAGATTGCTCTCAATTATTTACTGTGTTTTGGTAAAAACAAATTTCCCTTCGGTTGGCAGAACACACAATTTTAAGAGCAACATTCATGGAAACATGTTCCAGGGACCCTGGCTTGTCTCACGTGAAAATAGCACACTGTAATCAAAAGAAAAAAAGAACAGAATAATGAGACCATATGTCTCCTGGCTCTTTAGCTTACCGCCCATATTCTAATAGGTATGGATAACTTACTATATTGCCAGTGAGCTGGAAGTCTGAAAGATAAATGTAGCCCAAGAATCTCCTCATCTGCTTACCTATAAATTCTCAAAATGTGAAGAAAGTTAATCTTTTAAACATAATCCCTGAAAGACTGTGCTGTGTCTGAATCATTATTTAATGACACTAACACCCTCCATCATATTGAATATGGAAATAGCCAAAGCTCTATAATACATTAGAGAAAAGAAACCTAAAAATAGATTCCAGTTGATTACATTATTCTATAAAGGTAAAACTTTCTTAGATACTGACAATTATTTTAAAAGATGGCAGCAGCCATGCAGAGCCAATTACTCAAAATGCTTTCCAGTAGAGTACTGGCTCTTTCATTTATATTATACATATCTTTCTTAAATTCTAAAAAATTCTCTGCCATTTTTTTCCTTTGAAAATTACTTCTTCCTCATTCCCTCCTTTTTCTTCTTCTTCTGAAATTCCTATTGTATTATTGGATAATTTTCATTTTACCCTTCATATCTCAACTTCTCTTTCATATTTTCCAGTGCCAGTCTCTATGTGCTACATGCAACCTAATTTCCTCCAGTTGTCCTCCCATTTACAAATTCTTCATTCAGTCCTATCTAATCACACTTCAGCCCACTCTTCAGGTTTTGGGGTTTTTAATTTTAGGGACAGCATTTTTCATTACTAGAAGTTCTATTTATCCTTTTCAAATCTGCCTAGACTTTTGTAATTCCAATTAACTGAAGTTCTTGGGGTCCAGTCCTGTTACTTGTTATGTCTACTGACTTTCACTCCTAAAATACTTCTTCCACATACATTATTAAATGTGGGATTGTGACTTTTGATAAATAAGACTTTAACTGCAAATTCTGTGTGATTTGGATTAGAAGCTGTATTCTTTCAGAATAATGGCTTCTACCAGTTAACCCACCGGGACAATCAGCTCAGGCAAACTTCACTTCTACCTGTGGGTTTCCAATTAAAGTACTATAAATTTGAGCCTCAGGAGGACTCTTTAGGGAAGCAGGCATTCTTATTCCACATAGGTTCAAAGTCAAACAAATCAATTTGCCTGTTATCACAAGGCATTACATTCCATCCATATGCTGCTGACTCTCAAATTTCTGTCTCAAAGCCAAACTTCACTCCTGAACTTCAAATCCTATAATGAATTATCTATTGAACACCTTCCCTTGAATGTCTAATAAGCATCTCAAATCTTACCACAACCACATCTTAAGCTAATTCTTGATTCCCTTTCTTGCTCCTTCCACCCACCACCACCACACACACACACACAAAGTCAGCAACTCCAGCATTCCAGCTTAGGCCTAGTGGTGCTCATGGCCTAAACTCTCATTCACCACTCCAAATGTGGGGACACTTGGTGATTTCCTTTCTCTGCATTCCAGCAACACTTAACATTGAAAGATTTACTTATAATATTACGTTCAATAGTAAGCAGAAGCTTTACCCCATCTGTTTAGATGGTTGCATTGATTAGGAGTCCTTACTGTTGGCTTTTCAAGTGGGAGCAGGCAAAGGAGGCTACTCTCTCTTTTTTTTTTTTTTTTTGAGACATAGTCTCACTCTGTCTCCCAGGCTGGAGTGCAGCGGCCTGATCTTGGCTCACTGCAACCTCTGCCTCCTGGATTCAAGCAAGTCTCCTGCCTCAGCCTCCCGAGTAGCAGGAATTACAGGTGCCCACCAAAGCTAATTTTTGTATTTTTAGCAGAGATGGGGTTTCACCATGTTGGCCAGACTGGTCTCAAACTCCTGACCTCAAACGATCTGCTTGCCTCGGTCTCCCAAAATGCTGGGATTACAGGTATGAGCCACTGCTCCCTGGCCAGGAGGCTACTTTCAATTGCCTATTGTTATCTCTTGATACCAGACTACTCTTAGGGTCTGTTCCTTTCAATACAATGTTACTAAAAGGGCTTAGAAAAGCAATGTAGAAACCACTTCCTGGCCAGGCATGGCAGTTCACACTTACAATCCCAGCACTTTGGGAGGCAAAGGTGGGCTGATCACTTGAAGTCAGGATTTCAAGACCAGCCTGGGCCAACATGGTGAAACACCATCTCCTACTAAAAATAACAAAAATTAACCAAGGGTGGTAGTGCTCACTTATAGTCCCAGCTACTTGGGAGGCTTAGGCATGAGAATCATGTGAATCTGGAAGGTGGAGGGTGCAAAGGGTGCAGTGAGTGAGATCAGACCACTGCACTACAGCATGGGTGACAGAGTGAGACTGTCTCAAATAAAAACATTAAAAAATTAAAAAAAAAAATGACTACCTATTAAGAAACCATCAATGTGGATATATTTTGGCTTTAGGATAAAGACCCTCACGGACTGATAAACTGCAGATTGGCATTCAAGATCCTTCCCATAATCTATGTGATCTTACAGCCATTATGGCCTCAATGCAGCCAGACCTACCTGCTGTTTCAGTGACACCTTTCTTCCAAGACTTTACCCATGTTGTTTTTTTACCTGAAATGCTCTTCTTTCTCACTTTTTAAAAAAGCCCATTTATTCTACAAGGACCAGTTCAAATACAACCTCATCTGCAGTCTTCTTAGATTCTTGTCCTGTACCCTGCTTTTGGCTTACTCTCCCCTCTGCTGATACCTTTACTAATTGACTACTTACAACACTGCACTTCTATTCCAATTACGATGTTAGTCATAATGGGAAGCGCAAACATTAACAAACTCAGATGTATTTCCCACTGAGGAATAGAATTAAGTGATACGTCCAATCAGACTTGGTTGGGTCCATCAAGGACCAGTAATGTTCATCTGGATAACCTCACTGCACCATATCTCCTAACCTCCATAATGGCTCAACCCACAGCAATTTTTCTTGCCTTTCCTTATAACCTGGACTCCCTCAAAGAAGCGAGACCTTGTCCCAAACTCCCAAGCTCATTTGGCTAGGGTTCTCAAGTGAATACTTGTCGGACTTATTCCTGATCCCCACACCTGTCATTAGTGGCAAAAGTGATGATATGAAAGGCTAGACCTCCTAGAATCACAACACAGCCCTTCCAGACTCTGCTGTTCTGCCTGCTGCCTAAACTCTTTTGATGCTATTTTACAAGCATTAGACTGGACCAATCAATACCAGAATTTGTATAAGTGACATCTGTCCCCACTAAATCACATTAGGATACCCTGAAGTCCTTGCTAGGGCTAGTCTCGGGAATTAGAGAAGTTCCTCTCCAGGCCATGTTATTCATTCTCCACTGCTCTTCCCTTCTTTCTTTCCCTTTTTAACACTTGATTTATCATTGCTCCAGGTGAAGCATAATAATGGCTGTGGGGAACTCATCTGGTCACCTATAAATTCTCTGTATTTCTTTCTAACAATTCCAAACAGGTACTGAAGATTCATCCTATTTCCTCCACAATAGTTTAACCAGATACAGAATGAGTCAAGCACAGAGAAAGACAGCTACATAGAATGCTAAAAGAGGCTATTCAGTGGCGAATACCTGGAGGGGTGACTCTACCACCACACACGGCAAAGGAAAAAGGAGTTAGGAAAAGAAAGTAGCTGCCAGAAAAACAAAAAGTCCCTTTCTTCAGCTTCCTTCACATTAACTGTTCTTCTGTCCTTCACTATGAGCACTGCAACGTACTCACCTCTTTTATTCATAGTCTTATTTTCCGAGCACCATAGTAGGGACTTAACAATCCCACAGTTTTAATTAAAGATGCTTATTACTATGTTTCAATAATTAGCAGGGCTATAACTCTCTTCTGCTGCTCTGCTTTTGAGGGTTTTCCTTATACTCTACTTATTTGTTCTTTCCAATGAAATTTATAATGAACTTGTCTACCTCCAGGAACACACAGGCACACACAATCCTGATAAAGTTATAAATTAAGGAGAATGTCAAAATTATGTTGAAACTAAAAGCTAGTATAGGTATAAGGATTTACACTTGAGGGAAAAGCTTTAACATATTTTTTACCATTCTGTGCTTATGTAAGGATATAGGCTGAACCCAGAAAACCTTTGCTATATTATCATGGAAAATTTTATTTAACCAAACTTACATTAACTACCAAAGAAACACAATTTATATCACATACTGTGTAATAGGATAAATAGAAGGAAAAACAAAATAACCAAAGAGCAAAGCACGTGGGACATTAGGAAGGTACTTCCTCACCTTCCTTTTTCAGCCATTTCACAATGTTTCCTTCTTCCATTGTGGGAGACAGTGATGGCATTAGTATCTTAATGGGATCACCTGAAATTGAAAAAAAGGAAAGATTAGCCACAATAAATAATGTACCTCATGAGGCATCAATATACGTTCAAGTAAATTAATGTCAAATTCAATATGAAAAAGAAGGTATTCCGAAGTCTAAAAGATTCCTAACTGGTAAACTAAGTTTCCAGTAAATAGTATGGAAACATAAAATTTGATTTTGCATAAAAGTGTTTTTCCGAATATCTGAAACTGTTTTCATAATACCCCAGTGCATGTTTTCAAGCCAGGTGCTTACAAGTCAAAAAAAGAAGAAGAAAAATTGATTTAGGAATGATTTAGGTTTCACCTCTTCCTTTCCCTTTTGTCTCTGCAAAACGAGATTGACAGGTAAAATCACCAAAGAAAATGGCAAATAAGAAAACAACAACAACAAAAAAAGTAAAGTTCTGATGATCTACAACAGAATAATCAAGATCAGACTTTAAGAAATTGGCTGTTTTTATTTTCCTCTAGTATTATATTATTCAAGATTCAAAGGTTCCTACTAATAAGTGTGAAAGGAAAAGTCTGCCTTGTCAAGTGTAAGGAGGCAAGGGAATTTAAGTGGTTAAATTAACCTCACATTTTGTTGCACACCACAATTCAACTGGGGATCCAGAAAAGTAGACCTCAAACCAGAATGACCTCCCAGTGAAACATAACTACATTTTCCTTAGGTATTGAAAAAGCAAACACTATATATTTGTCCAGCTACACCTCTCAATCCACCGTCCAGGATCACATTCTAGAGCAAAACAGCTTTTAGATTACAATTTACCAATAAAATACCATGGTAACAAATACATCCCCTGTAGTTTTCCATAGACCCTACTCACTCCTCAGATAATTCAACTCTCCAGACCCAAACAAGCAAAACACTGCAGCATAGCTAGCATAATTCAAATGTGGAAGAACAGAGCTTCTTTTGTCTCCACTGATCTTTTAGGGTTAAAAGCAAGTAAATTTAGCACTAATGTTAAATGAGAATAAATATTTCTCCTGGGAAGCTGAAGAACTTGTACTGCATTTTCAAATGGAGATTTCCTATAGCTTCACAATAAAGGTATGTCCACCTCTTTGAAGTATTTAGGACAAAGTTTCTATATTTCTCCATTTTTCCTTCACTCTTCTCTGAAGGTCTGGAGAAAGAATAGAGGCATACATACCTGCCCCAGTCTCTTCCTTATTTTAAGAACTTCCCGATTATAGACAACCTGCCGTTTCCCCTCAGCTCCTCCATCCACGTGCTAGGCACACGTTGCCCTGCCTTTCAAAGGCAGCTCCACAGGCCCACCTCTCTGTGCTCTTGCCATCATGGCCCAGGGATATGTCTGCTTTGTACACACACAGTCTCCCTCTCAAGCAGAAAATTCAAAGTCTAAAGTAGAGTTGTACTAAGAAGCCTAACCTTAGAAGGCCACATATCTAAGTCACATTCTCCAATCCAATGTAACCAACAGCATTTGATCTCCATCTGTCTTATTCTCTCAACTGGCACCAAATTCTAAGAAGCCTGGAAAAGTAGAATTACCACACCCAATACCCCAACAACGACACAGCCCAAACTAAAGTCCCAGTCAAACATGCCCATTTCATCAATGAGAAAACCACAATCCAGACTGATTACAGGCTGTGAATCTGCATGCTTAACTCTCAAAGTTGTGCTAACTTTATATCTCATGTTCCTTACAAATACGGATCATCAGTTAATTACTGGTTGTTGATAGCCTATATTCACTTAGAAATCCAAATATAGCAAACCAGACATATCAGATCCATGTGAGCACTCTTCATATGTCTAATCAAATATCCTAACAGCTGTTTTCCCCACCTTGAACATGCAGAATTCCTGTATTAAAAAAACCACTTTTGCCAAGGTAGGCAAATCACTTAAGCCAGGAGTTTGAGACCAGCCTGGCCAACAGGATGAAACCCCACTCTATTAAAAATGTAAAAATTAGCCAGCCATGGTGGCACATGACTGTAATCACAGCTACCTGGGTGGCTGAGACATGAGAATTATTGGAACCCAGGAGGCAGAGGTTGCAGTGAGCCAAGATCACTGCACTCCAGCCTGGGCAACAGAGCAAGGCTCTGCCTGGGAAAAGCAAAACAAAACAAAAAACCACTTTTATTACTGACAATGAATATTTCAAATGCATAAGAGAACAGGTTATCTCTAAAAGCACCGTTCACTGAAAAACAGGAGGAAAAACAGCCACAGTGAGTTTCCGAACTCCTAATCATGAAACACTTATTTTGGAAGACGCTGGAGAACAAAGGCCAACTCCAGTCCACAATGACTCTCAATAACTGTGGCTGCAACAGTTTCACTTAATTCCTAAACTACCTCTAGTTGAAATGCTAATTATAACTAGAAGATAGCTTTATAAATCTTTTGCACTTTTTGCTTAGTAAAATAAGTCCTTATAAATTAAAACAGGCGCATTAAAATATTAAATACATAAAAAATAATGCAAACTACTATGTACAACCATAATGTTTGTCTATAAAGCATATAAAGCACTGGATAACTAAATTCTTGAGTGAACTAAATTTAGCGAAGTGCACTTAAGGAAAACACACACACACACTCTCTCTCACACACACACTCTCTCACACACACACACACACACGGAAACTTATAGCACTACTGATGCATCTCCAAATCCAAATCATAACAATCCTACACTTAACTGCAAGAACTATTAAAATGTGCATAAAGCTGGGGACTTCCACCAAGATGGCCAAATAGGAACAGCTCCGGAGCACAGTTCCCAGTGAGAGACACGCATAAGGAGAGTGATCTCCGCATTTCTAACCCAGGTACATTTCAATGGGACTGGTTGGACAGCGGGTGTAACCCAAGGAGGGCGAACCAAGGCAGGGTAGCTGCCCCACCTGGGAAGTGCAACTGGCCTGAGGATTGGAAACTTTACCCCCTAAGCACTCTGGTTCAGATACTGCACTTCTCCCATGGCTTTTGCAACCCACAGTCCAGGTGAATGACACCAGGCTGAAAAGTGCCGCGAGTTACCAACACAGATCTGAGCAACGGCTCCAGCTGGCCTGGCACCGCAAGTTGTCTGCACAGATTTAGGCAGAAGGTTGACTAGCCCCTAGAGCACACCTGCGGGGCGGATCTACCCACTCCCCAGAAAGAGGGACAGCCTAAAGCAGGGAGACAGGTAATATGGCTTGGCAGGTCCCACTCCCACAAAGACCAGCAAACTGAAGCCCTCTCACTTGAGAGTTTCGCAGCCAGCACATCAGTTCAAGCTCAACCTGGGACAATCCAGCTCAGTGGGGGGAAGGGCATCTGCCATTGAGAAACGGTCTCATCTCATCTGTGTAAACAAAGGCCAGAAGAAGCCTACACAGCAGCCAGGCTGAGTCCGAGGCAGCCCAGCAGTGTCTCTGCAGGCAGACAAGGGACAGACCGCCTCCTCAAGCGGCTGGCTCCCTGATCCCTGAATAACCAAAAAACACCTCCTACAGGAGAGCTCTGGCTGACATGTGACGGGTACCCTTCTGGGAAGAAGCTATGAGAGGAAAGATGAGGCAGCAATCCTCACTGCAGTGCAGCCTCCGCAGGTGATTCCCAGGCAAGCAAGGTCTAGAGTGGACCTCCAGCAGTCTTACAGCAGAAGGGCCTGACTGTTAGAAGGAAAAATAAAAAACAGAAAGAAATAGGTTCAAATCAACAGAAAGAATGTCCACTCAGAGACACCATCCAAAATCACCAACTTCAAAGATCAAAGTTAGATAAATCCACGAAGACGGGAAGAAACCAGCACAAAAAGGATGAAACCATCAAAGACCAGAATGCCTCTCCTTCTCCAAGGGATCACAATTCCTCACCAGCAAGGAAACAAAACAGGATGGAGAATGAATTTGATGAATTGACAGAAGCAGGCTTCAGAAGGTGGGCAATAACACACTTCTCTGAGCTAAAGGAACATGTTCTAACCCAATGCAAAGAAACTAAAAACCTCGTGAAAAGGTTAGATGAAATGCTAACTAGAATAACCAACTTGGAGAAGAACATAAATGACTTAATGGAGCTGAAAAACACAGCATGAGAACTTTGTGAAGCATACCCAAGTTTCAAGAGCTGAATCGATCAAGCAGAAGAAAGGATATCAGAGACTGAAGATCAGCTCAACGAAATAAAACGAGAAGGCAAGATTAGAGAAAAAAGAGGGAAAAGAAATGAACAAAGCCTCCAAGAAATGGGGATTATGTGAAAAGATCTAATTCACACTTGATTGGTGTATCTGAATATGACAGAGAGAATGAATCCAAACTGGAAAACACTATTCAGGATATTATACAGGAGAACTTCCCCACCCTAGCAAGGCAGACCAATGTTTAAATCCAGGAAATAGAGAGACCACCACAAAGATCAAACCCAAGGCACATAATTGTCAGATTCACCAGGGTTGAAATGAAGGAAAAAATGCTACAGGCAGCTAGAGAGAAAGGTTGGGTCACCCACAAAGGTAAGCCCATCAAACTCACAGCGGATCTCTCAGCAAATATCCTATAAGCCAGAAGAGAGTGGGGGCCAATATTCAACATCCTTAAGGAAAAGAACTTCCAACCCAGAATTTCATATCCAGCCAAACTAAGCTTTATAAGTGAAGGAGAAATAAAATCCTTTACAGACAAGCAAATGCTGAGAAATTCTGTGGCCACTAGACCTGCCTTACAAGAGCTCCTGAAGGAAGCACTAAACATGGAAAGGAACAACCAGTACCAGCAACTGCAAAAATGTACCAAATGGTAAAGACCAATGATGCAATGAAGAAACTGCATCAACTAATGGGCAAAACAACCAGCCAGTAACAAAATGGCAGGATCAAATTCACACATAACAATATTAACATTAAATGTAAATGGCCTAAATGCCCCAATCAAAAGACAAAGACTGGCAAATTGGATAAAAAGTCAAGACCCATCAGTGTGCTGTATTCAGGAGACCCATCTCACATGCA